CGCTTGGTACCAAAATGATTTTATTTTCTTTGGTTTGTTTTGTTTTCCTGTGTTTCTAATTTTTAAGTCTATTTTTTTTAATTCTGAAATTTTTTAACTGAAACAATAATTGAAGCCAAGTCCTGAAATTCATAGATTCGCGGAATAAAAATACTGATGATTGTCTTTATTAGGATTTTCTTTATAATGATCGATGGTGGTTTTTGTTTTTTTCTGTGCTTTCTTAAAATTTCTCTTCCTTTCACATTTGAACATTTGCATATGGCAATTGTTTGAAATTGTAATTATTGAAATAATTCATCAATATCCAATGAATAGAAACCTGTGAATGCATTGTTTGCTTGCAAATCATCATCACCTATGATTTTGCAACTTCATGCAATTTATCCAATTAAATCTTCTTTTGTTTTTCGAGGTTGTAGTTATGGCATAGAGATCGATGCTTATTCTCGATCCCCTCTTTCTACTACCTCAACAAAAAATGCCGTTGACTTACCTAAAATCTATAATAATCCATTGTTAAATACGAATCGTTTCATCACGACAAACTAATGAAGTAAATATACAATTGAAATAGATTGATAATCAACACGTAATTATCCTTAATTACTTACTTTTTTATTTCAGAAACGGTACCCATACAAGCATGATACTGTATAAATTAATTTTCCTCATTGTTCTGGATTGCATTAATTTTATTTCTAATAACTGATTTCATGGTTGATTTTTCTTAATACAATTTGCTTTTTTTATTATAACATTCTTATAATATTATATTTTCAACCTATCCATTTCAATCTATACTTAAATAGATTTTTAATTTAAAAGATCGAATTTGAATTTTGTTTCCTAAACTCTTCAAAATGCATCTTATTACATTTCTTCAACTTCCACAAAAATAAAATCCATTTCTTGGATTTAATCAGATGATTACTTTTTAAAACTTTGCAATATCAAAGAGAAATTTAATTTCAAAATTAACCATCAAATTGTATGAACAATAGATGCATTAAAGAAATTAGCATCTTTTCTGCTTTGATAATTGTTCGATTGAAATAATAGCATTTGTTATTGAAATACTATACTGCACTGTTTGTTTTTATAATTTATAGCATATCTTGCCTTTATTCCTATTATATAAAACAATGTATGTTCAAATTCTTATTTCCTATTTTTCTGCTATTCCTAGATTCTCAACGTTTTTTTTCTTTTAATTAGTAAATTTCCAATTAAGATTTCAAACATTTACTTTTTCATTTCCTTTCTATCGTCATCGTCATCATTTACAAAATTGATGAAACTTCGTGATACGCACGGTATTTTGTGACTTTTTGTGATCCGTTTCACAAATCATCGATAATTTTTAACAATTATTGTTATGGTTGTTATTGTTGTTTTTATTGTTTTTATTATACTATAACTTATATTACTATTATTGCCAGTGAGAAGGGAAATTATAGCTTTAATTAGGTTTTAAAAAAAAAATTTGTTTAAATCCTATTCGGCGTTTATCATTGATAATCATTATAATCCTGATTATCCTCTATCATCTCGAATATCACTAGATTTAAATTTTAGGATTAAGTTCATCCTTTTTTTTTTGCAGAAACCCTTAGACTGGCATAAAGTTTTTGAAAGAATATGGTGATTAAATCAGATCTTTCTACCTGTTCTTTTCTGTGTTTTTTTTTCTCTTTCCACCGAATTAATTTGTTCACCTCAATAAGCTCCTGGAACGCAGATAATTTTAAAGATAGATTTATTGATTTTTTCTTTTTAGATTTATTGATGAATAGTAAATCTTTGTTAATTGTTGTACAATATTTTCTTAATTTATATGAAAAATAATTAGATGATTGAAGTGCGTTTTAGCTACCTTTTCAAGGTTTCAACTAGGCCTTGCGACCCCATTTATATACAATACACACACCCATTTCGGAAGTAGTCATTGCTTTTCGAAAATTTCTTTTTTGATTTATTTATATATGTACATATACAATGATGAAAAAATATTTCGATCGCTTCTTGTAAGTTCTTTCCGATTACATTTTTTCTTTTTTGAAATAAATATCGTTGTTTGATCAATAAAAGACAAAAATTACACAACAGATATAGTCCACGAATAGAGAATTAAGATTATTATACGGGAAAGAAATCGATATGGAAATTAAATTCTGAATCGGTTGTCTCTAGTGATGTTCAAAGAATATGATCAGAAAAATAAGCGAAAATTCGGATGGATTTATTATTCAATACTATTGATGGCAGTTCTAATGATGTGTTCTGACGAGAATCTTAGAAATAAATTATAGGACTTGAAAGAAGCATTAATCCCGAATTCCCATCCAGCTTATTCGCTACCAAATGTAATTTTCATGATTATTTGCAAAAAAATAAAATAACACAAAATATCCTTAATCACATGATTGAAGCTAAATTCTCTCCCATTCTGTCAGAAAAGTTATGATTCCAATTGCTTTCATTTCCTTTACTTCAAAGTTTCATTCCGTGCTTCAAAATTAGCACCAGTCAATAATGTTAAGAGAAACAAAAGAGTTCATTTATTTCGAAATTTGCAGCAAAAAGACAAGAAGGCATGTAGAAGTGGCATCCAACGGACAAAAAAAAATTACAAAAGCGATCAACAACTAAAAGCAAATAAAATATTATCCGAAAACAAACTGGAATTACCACCTTGCCTTTCGGCTTTATCTTGAGCAAGGTGCGCTTAACAGCAATTATACCTTAATCGAAGTTACAGTGACAACGACCACACAAGTTGCTATAGAAAATCCCCTAATACTATAGAAAATCCCCGTATTAGTATATACGAAAAATATTTTTAAAAAAATAGTGGAAAATGTGTTTGTAAAAAAAACCAGGAGAGTATGGAAAAATCACAGCTCTAAAAACCGAGAAAACGCCAGAAAAAATTCGAGTAATAAAATATGTACGTGTTCTAGTCTAATGGTTTTCCGACCTTCCCGTAGAGTCCACGCATCAATGAAAAATTATAGAAGCAATTCATCCAAGTTTAAGTTCAAAAAGATGCAGAATAAAGAACTTGTAGATCAAAGACGAAATGGAAATATTTGAATTGATTTTTGGGAAGAAACAACACATAGCGAATATGCAAAATGAGCTTATTAGCCTAAGAAATACAAAAGCGCAAGTTTTCATTCATCTAATCGTATTCCTGAACCTCTTCGTCTGTGTTAACTCCATCTTCTTGCTGAGAAGAGATAATCATCATTAGCAGGAAATTATTTTAATTAGTTTAGATTTGAGCTGAGATATATCGTACTGCGTTGCACTATTTGCAATCCCATTAGAGTATTTTTCAGGGTTGTTAACTTGTCTCCATTAGAAACACTAAATTACTCGCAGTCATTTGTTTAAAAAAACTAGAAATCTTTATGTCGTTTTATCTCTCCTCTATCGCTATCCCGTTGAGTTTGTTGGGTTTATAAGAGCATGCTCTGAGAGCTTAATTTGAATATAACTGTTCATTGGAAGCAATATTCTGACAGGACTAACCGCTCGTTTCATCACATTCCAGAAGCAGAGAATTCCCAACGTATGATCTCCTGAATACAAAAGTTTTACGTTTTGTGAAGTACGTAGGAAAGATTATTTAAGATTGTGTGAATTTAGTGGTGAGAGCAAATTTTAGCATTCAAAAAATGAAAACCAAAATTCATCAAAAACCTATTCCAGGAAACTATTGGAAGGGCCTGAATAGTCTTCAAGAGAATGATGCGACGAAATATAATAACTAGTTTCCGTTAGAATCCAGGTAGTAATCTCTTTCGCGAAGGTGAGTTTATTAAAACACACCAGAGCACTTACTTGCTCCTCTTGGGTTTCGTCCATTTCAACCCGGAAAAATGCAAATATGAGGCGATTCAGAGATCTAAAACCCCAATTCCCATTTTTGATCTATCTTAAGTAATTTCAAGACTATCTGACACTTTATAAATGATGTCAATCAAGTTTTAGCGTAAAAGTACAAGAATGGCGAATTAATCACAAAAAAGCGAAAAAAATATAAGATAGTCAAACTTAGATTTTTAAGTCAGAGGAAAACTTCACATCCTTAGTTCACGTTTCAGTGGAAGCAAAAAAACTTGATCCAAACGAACCAATTTTGAAAAATTAGGTTGAAAAATTAGGAAAAAAGGAAGATGAAAACTTTGACCTCTGAGTTTTGGATTATGAATTGTTAGCTTTGCCACTGCTAAATGAAAATCGAGACTTGGACTGTTAGTTTTGCAATCACTATATGGTTTAAAGTAGTATAATCAATTACCAAATCAAAAATTTAAGTCAAAAAATGTGAGAAGTAACCTACTTTAGGATCAAAAAACCACCCCGCATACGGTAGTTATCATAGGTGTAACTCCTGTAACCGTTTTGGATTTTCTTATAATTGAGCAGAAGGTATTTGCAAATATCTGAAGTTTCCAACGTTTTATGATGACTATTACCTAAGATCACCAAAATAACGGACGAAAAAGTCTGAGACGTAACAAAAACGCAAGAAGAATGATTGCCCTTGGACTATAACTACCACACGTGATAAGTGAGAGTTTCATATCCGACAGAAAAAATGTTCCAGAAGTTGAAAAATGAAACTAGTTTTGCCCCATCACTGAAAATAATATAATATCTATTACAAATGGTAAAAAAACTATTAAATAATTTCTTTGATTTAATCCGTTACAAATGTAGCCACAGATCCTTATCACCAAGGACAAACAGTAACATTTATCAATTATCATGCTTTATAACATATAGTGTAAGCAAGGGCTCAGCAAAATAGAAGCAGCAGAAATCATGCAAGGAACAAAATATGCGGATGAATAAGACTGAATAAAAACACATGAAGAAGCTGTTGCAGAAGTACAAAACTCTTGGAAAGACCAAAATTTTAAATTAAAATAAATACCAATAAACAGCTCACTACAGCATAATTGGCATGGTAGTGAACTATTTGAAATTCAGATGGGACCTCCAGTGGATGTTGTTGGTTGCTCTCTTGTTGGAAGCCAAATTGATTCCGCCTCCACTCGTTGATCTGATCGATGTTCTTCGATTAATCTCAAAGCAGGACTCTCACTGACGCTATCACTTATCGTTTCACTGATAGTACCACTAGATTCTGCTCGCTCAAATTGTTCAGTAGGTCGTAAACTACAAAGACCCGAAACAAATAAACAACTTTTTAAAATATAATATTTAACCTCAAAAATGAACACAATTGCTGTACACTTCATCAATTTATGCATTCAGTTATCGAATAATGCTTTCTTCCTGATCTCTTATACAGTTCAGAAATAAGAAAAGTGTGACCCCTCACTAAGCAAACTGGTCTAGACAAAAAAATAAGTGAAGAAATCATTTTTGACAAATATTAGAAAAATTTAATGAATAGGAAAGCTTATATAATATTTCTAACAGTACCTATTTATAGAATAAAGAACTAAACAGATTAGAAATCTTTCCTAATTTTCCAACATTCTACACAAAACTGTGCTTCAAAGTACCACACGAAACTAAATTTTCGCATTTTTGACACCGGTAAATGCCATCATGATTTACGAAACTAACTTCCCCTGATAAGAAAAATGCAATTTTCGCAACCACTATGTATCCATCTTCTAATTATTTCTTGTTAATTCAAATCGTTCAATGTTATTACATATAAATGACACTATGTTTTGAATGTGCCATTATTACCGACTGCAATATGCACACTTCAATGAAAATGTGTCAATAAAAACTGAGAAAACTGAAAATCTAATTTAAAATTTGACATTTCATGTTAAAATTATACTACAATAAACAGAAAGTGTCAATTATTTTATTCAATGTTGATCTGCTCGGATGACTTTGGAACATGCAGAACATAACCTAAAAATTGAAGAATAACTCAGCTAGAGAGTTCAACAGACACTCGAATTAAGCACTGACAATACACCTTAACTAGACGTCGCAGTCAGCTATGGTTCATAAAAAAACTTATATGTGATTTGATAGATGACCTGAAAAACATGAATTCAGTAAATATTGCATCACTTCATTTTCAATGAAGGATATGTTCAATTATTGTGAAAACAAAGGGTAAACAAAATGAACAAGAATGTCGGTGAACAAGAATTAGCTAATAAATTAGGAAGTTTATGTACTTCCTGCAAATGTAATAATACAATTCAATTAATATAATGGTCTCCTAATCTTCTTATTAATTTGGGAGAGAAGCGCATGGTAAAATAGCGTTGCATACGTATCTAAGCAAAGGTATTAAAATGTCACCGAAAAAAAAAGAATAAATTACCAATGTAACTCGTAATATATGTTATGGCCTTGCATTCTAAAATGTTCATTGAAGTATGCTATTTCTCTAGGACTCGGTGCAAAAGTCGTCCGAATCCTGAAACATTTACTTTCTAGGATTCATTTTCCTAATTCTTCTTCCTATTATGGAAGTGCAAAAAACACATGCATCCTGAAAGTTATTTGATTTAAGTCACTTAATTTTTATAAACAAAACTTATTATCGTGATAGATTAAGCCAAAATATTTATAACAACTTCCTTCTGCAAATATCGCTTAATTGAATTACTGATCGATTTACAAAAAAATCAGAATTCAAACATAAAAGCACAGGGCGTTAAGAAATCTAGACCTACGTTTTGATGATGAAATCAGTAAATAATGTTATTATAGGAATTAAAATCAATGCCAGCCAAAAAAATGGCGAACTCAACATTATGAACGCCATACCACACATATCCTCACCAATCGGTAAAATTGGCCAAACCTATAATTTATTTTTTTAAGAAACCTATGCAGTGTAAAAAGATTCCATAAATCATAGATTATCCTTGCATAGGATGAAGAGAATGAATAAGTTACGATTCAGTAAAAACTGTAAAACAATGTAAATTTTTACCAGGGAATAAAGTGAAAGGAAAATAAACCACAATAAAATTGAGCCAAAACATGAAAATAATATAACAACTGTCCAAGAATTACATTCTAATAAAGCTTTAAGGCAAACTGTTGTTACCACAAACTGAAAAATAGCGAACGATGCAAATTTTAATGAATTCCAGTAAGATAACGTGGAATAAATGGCAAAAATAAAAGCACTTCACATTAAACTTAACCAAATGTCAAGAGACCAAGAGTAATTGCGTCACGCACGTTTTTTTTCCACTGACTACAAAATTTTATTACCTGTTCAAAATTATTTCTATTCCTAAACTGGCATTACAGCTCGGCTGATGAAATAAACATAAACGAACCGTATAGCACGAATTGCCAAGCATCAACCAGCCTCCAACTCTGCCATTATCCCACACAACAGGATTATACAAAAATGCATAGGATAAAAAGAAAAGAAGTAATGAATGCCAAACTGCTAGACCAATCCACATTGCAAACTGCTAAAATGAACGCAGCAAATTATATGGTTAAACTGAAAGTAAAATAAAAAACATAAAAGTTACAAACTAATTTGAGCAATAAATTTGTCAGTTAAAACATTTTTGCGAATGTGGCAACTAATACCCTTCTCACCATATTTTTCCAACGTGCTTGATACAATGTAATAAAACAAGTTTTTTTTCAAGTATAACTCACACCGATTGTGAATGCTAGTTTCTGAAAACTTTCATACAAGCCAGGATAGGAAAGCATCATTTGGTCGGAAAGAGGTCTGTCAAATAATCCGATCATAACAGGTGGCAATGCAGTAAATGCCACGTTGAAAAGAGCAATGGTCCAACGCTCAAATATTGTTTGACCAGAGAATGCAGAATAGATCGCAAACCATAACTCGATCAAATACAAACATATGTTCTTATAGAAGCTATATAAGATCACCTGGAACTATGAAATATAAAGTGGAATATTTGGAAAAATTTTTAGAACATGAAATCAGAGGATGAAATAGCGAAATAACCTTTGCGCCTCGATCGTAGTTCCATGCACCATGAACAAGTAAAAGTCTGCGTAAAAAATGAAATTGTGCAATAGAGTAATCACTCGTAGATGCTGCTTGCAGACCTTCTTCACCAATTATTCCCACACCAACATTAGCAGCCTGGACTTTTAAAAGTTACTGAAGAAAAATCTAGAAATCATGCCTTGGATAGATTAAGTTCTGTCCTAAGTCCAAAATTTGTTTACACCATTTATATTGTTTTGCTTATCCTACTTACCTCTAAAAAAATCGATATTAATCAATCATAAAAAATACTTGTATCATAGCGACATCATTGGCACCGTCGCCAACTGCTAAAATCACATCGTTAGTAGCTTCGCGAACTATCTCGACAACTTCTGCTTTCTGCATTGGGGTCATTCGATAACAAATCACAGTGGGACAAATCATGGCTAGGTTACCAAAGATTTTCCTACATCTCGGTTCAACTACGTATTTTAGTGTCTGAAAAATCCATTTTTATGGAAATTCCTTACATTAAATTTAAGATGTAGCCCACTTCTCCCAACCTGCGTTAATGCTATGAAATAACGAAGTTTTAAATTTTAAATTTTTTAAATATTTTTTAAAAGTCAATTTTAAATATTTTTCAGAAACAATGAAATAAATGCAAGTATTCTCAACTTCTTATTCTACTATATTTCCATTTATTTAAAAGTACTATGAAGCCAAATTAACAGGATGAAAAAAGGGCAATTTAGAATTTAATCTTTTCACTTTGCTAAGTTGGCTTCATGTCCTTTTTAAATAACTCTGAAACACAAACATAAGCAATAAAAATTGATAGAAATCTAAGATATCTTCCTAATCTTTCTCCACCTGTTTTTCATCATTGCTTTCAAGTTGGATCCCTCTAACCAAACAAAATTGTGGGTAATGACCGCAATTGTAATGACCGACTGCCATTACAATTAGCAGTTGTGTGAATACGGCTGAAGTCAGTGGATGAAATGTATAAACAACATAGATTTTCAACATATAGCAAAAACCAAAAAACTTACAGATCCATCTATAACTAAAGAGTAATGAACAGTGGATGGCTGAACAATAATACTGCAGTCACAAAGTTTTTCAAAAACTTCATCGCATGAGTTGCCATCAATAAACCAATATTTCATGCTCGAATGAACGAGACCCGCTGAACGAGCTACATTAATGGCTGTCTCACGCTTATCGCCGGTTAACATCCAAATGCGTATCTGCGCAGCAAGTAAAGCCGTAATTGTTTCCGGTACATACTATAAATCGTTGATTAGTGCTTAGTTAATATAATTTGATGTTGGATTTTATCTTCGTATTTCAACTATATTTGCAAAAATAATTTCCAAGTAGAAAGATTTTCGAATCTAATTACCAGAAAACGAAATTTATCAATTTTCGCTCTTATCCAGTGTTTAATAAACTATGAATAATCAATTACGACAATATCTTTGCAGTACTTGACACTTTAGGAAATATTTGCACTTTGCCTTAATGCAATTGAACAGCAATAACATACTGTGAATTAGAATATTCTATTACATTAGATTATTGCCGGTTTGATGCAGTAGGATATTTAAGATATTCAAATGTGTTGCTGTTATTAATTTCTCAATTCTACTATAGCAATTCTATTGTTATTATAAAATTACTCCGAAACTTATTTATTACTATGCAAAAAACACCTGTTGCAATTTATCTTCAATTGCAGATACACCCACTAAGGTAAGGTTTTTTTCAATCTTCTCAGCGCATTCTGCCAATTTTTCTGCTCGTTTGTCTATCGAAATCAAAGCTTTTTCAAATTCTTGAGTCCATTTCTTGTATTCTTCCAATTCCAGTACACGCATTGCAAAACAAAGAGTTCGATAGCCCTTTAACGTTTTTTTTAAAGCCAACAAAACTAATTTATTGATGAAAGTAATATAAAGATGAAAAATTATTACAGAAACTATGCAAGATAAGATGATAAAGGAAAAAAAGCTTTAAGATAAGTATGAGGAATTCAATAATACTGATATTTAAAAGTAATACAGACCTTTGACGCATAGTCTAGAAGATGGATCATGCAATTATCAACAACTGGTAAATCCTTTCTCAATCTTTCGAAAATCATAGAATCCTAAAGAGACATCCATTTCATGAGGTTCATTTGTCAGGATCACTACAGTTGAAATTTCAACTGTGACCAAAAATGTAGACAAAGTGTATAATTATAACAAAAATTGCAACATGAAAAATTAAAAATCAAATGATTTAAGCAAATGTAGCGTATAATTTTCTTGGAAACTATCATTCACGAAATCATAAAGACGAAACTCAAAACTCCCCTGCAAATAAAAATAATCAATATATATTTAGTAAATTTCTCACCGCTCCTTTGACATACAATTTCAAGACACCGTCAGGACACCGCACAACAACACCCATTCGTTTTCTATCGCTTGTAAACTCTAACACATTTAAAACTTCATAACTTTTGATTTCTCCTAACTGAAAGTACGGTAAAAAAAGTCACATGTAATACGAAAAAATGCGGAATTAAAACAACGCTTTCGGAATTATATTTACGAAACTAATTTGAGAATTCAGTAAAAATTTGCAGAAAAAATAGCAATTATTAAATCGCAAAAACAATAATAATGACGTTAACCTGGAAGAGGCTAAACACTTCTAATTAAAATCAAAAATACCTCTGAGACGAGAATACATCGTGGCTTTCTGGTGTGAAACACGAATCCAAGGACTGCAGCAGCACGAACAAGCGCACCTTCGTCAGGTGAAGAAGCTTGATATTGTAATTCACCGCTTTCATCCCTTTCTGGAACAACCGTATGACAAATTGCCATCATCCGAAGAAACTCTTTGACAGAACCAGCTTTTTCCTAAACAGCGAGTGTATAGATGACAAGATTTCCAAAAACACTGGAATTCCAAAACTCTTTTATTACAAATCACTGATGTCAAACAGTTAATAACAAAGATTTGAAACAATGTAATTCTTCAATTTAATTTTCATCAAGCAACAAAAACATTCCATAAGCTTTTTTTCTCATTTTATACTTTCATGACTGTTTTAAGTATGTCATTTACAGTTGTTCAGTTCACTGCTCATGCGAATATTCCATCAAATTAAAATATGGCAAGGTTTTAAATGGCCTCTTATACAGATTTGATAAATGCCGCAATAAAACTTGTGACAGAAAAAAACTTCCAAAACAAAAACAAACATCAGAAGTCTTGATGAGTTCCGGTAAATCACGATCTTGAAAATCATCTGTTTCATCGTTTCCAAAATTGATACCAGCAATTGAGCATCTTTTAAATTTCATAATATTACGAGTTAGTGTTCCCGTTTTATCACTCATTATAAATTTCACCTTAAACATGATATCAAACGTTATTGAGAACTATTAGCTAAAAAAGTAGCTACAACAAAACTTCATGCTTCCGACTTAATAAAGCTTTAGTGAAGATAAATCCATCTTTATTTTACACATTATATATTCAAATCTAAAAAAACTATGCATCTTAACACGTACTAAAAAATGATTTCTAAAAACTTAACACCATTCGTTTACAATATACCGTCTTATTTACAATCAATTGCTATCTGTATTCAGTTAATTCCATTAGATGAATCACAGCCTGTATCTGTCACACTCAAAACACAATTTTTTCACGTTGTCAATGGTTGTTAATCGGACAACAAAGACATGTAAGTGGAAGCTATAAAACATATTTTATAAAGTGATTTCCTCGCAAACATCCAATTATTCCTTCTTGCAACTATTTTACGCAGATATGGAACTATAAAGAAAAACTTTGAAAAGGTAAGCATTTACCTGTCCCAATTCTTCATTTAAATTCGATGTCCTTGCAACAGCACAACTATCTGTTTTTTCATCATACATGTCAATATCCTAAAAGTATCATACAAAAGTACGTTTCACTGCCGAAATGCAAATCATTAATTTTCATTTTCGCTCTTCTTCCATTAGAGTAACACCCAAAAAAAGCTGAACTTAGTAAACAAAGAGTGAGAAAGACTCAAGTTCTCACTAAATTCTGAATTTCACAAAAAATTAAGCTTTTTTGCATCAACAAAAAATCAGATAAGTTAATAAAATATTTTATAACTTGAAATTTTGAAAATATATTGATAAATTTGAAAGTAAGACAGAATGAAGTGAATGCATTAAAACTACTCACATTATTCAAATACACAGCCTGGAAAAATCGGACTATTTCAAGCGTAACTTGCAATGAGATCGGGATTAAGTTATTATACAAAATGAAGAACGTTAGCGCATTCCAGAAAAAGTCGAAGGGCCCCTTTGCTGGAAACGTCAAAATTTAAAAGACCAAATTTTATGCATATTAAATATGAAACTGAAGAGAAAAAAGGAATATTATTGAAGATAAATGCAAGGGCAATATATTTCAGCACTTTATCAAAGCACTTCATCAATTCCCTTTTTATATTAGATTACCATTATAAAACGATAACTTTTTTGTGTTATTTCGTTAATTATATTGTAAGTTTTTTGATATCTATCGACAAAAACAGTGCTGAAAATAATGATTTTAAGAAAAATAAAACAAACTTCGAGGGCCAAGGTAATAAGCGTGCATTAGCACTTTATGATCGAAGAAATATGCTCCAACAGCACTTATAAGAGCTAGAACAACTAATACAAGAAACAGAAATAAAATACGCTGGTTGGTGATAGCATCAATTCTGGATCTGAAATAACAAGAATCAATATATTGCAAGTTCATAGATCCTTAAAACTTAAAAATATATGGTAGTGCATATTTACCAGTTGAAACTGATATGTAAGGAACTTCACTATGTATAGAACGAAATGCTTCAAAGAAAAAATTACTGTTTCAATGGAGGTATTTTTGAATTCATTAACAACTTGGCATCATGCCCCGCATATAGCACTACGCCACATATCCACTGTGTATGTTTTAAACGAGCACCACGCAATAATAGTTGAGGTATACCTATAAAACTGTAACATCAAAATTTTTGGCTTCCTTGTGCAATTAATCAAGCACCATACTTTATAAAGTTTATTGTCAACCGAAAAAAATAAGATTTCATGCCTTCCAATCACATGGCACAACATGCTCATGACCGCATAAAATACGTGCCGGACACAAATGGGCATTGGACAAAAAAGGCTCATGTTTGCAAAACTGTATAAAGTGTGGTGCTTGATCAAAAAGACAAAGGATTGGATCTTTAGTTTTGCATAACGAATCTTTCCAGTCATATATGTGCTCCATTACTGATTAATTACAAATTTTCAGAGCGGAGTTTGCGAAAGTAATACAAATTTTTGAAAACGATACAAACGTACCAAGAGGTCGCTGCAAATCTTGCATATGTAGCGTTCCTGTAAACTCATTTAAATTTTGATTTGGATGTTCACATTCGATCTTACACTGGAAATTTTTAATCGCTGCTGCATCTATTAGATCCGATGTACATTCAAGTCCCTGTCGAATTTTCAGATTCGTTTCTCCATCCAACTTTGAAGTCTCGATGTAAGCTATACTTAGCGGTTCACTGGATGATAACAGTGCTAAATCCGCTGGGAACATTTGATTATTTTCCACTCGTACAATATCTCCCACTTTCAACTGAAATTTGCAAAGTCAAGCCTTTAAAAAATCAAACTAATTATTTTAAAACACTACTGTTAACCAATGTTGAGTTTGAATTAAAGGTTTTATCTGTATAGAACTTCACTGGATCGCTCAAACAATCTGGTCATTCAGATTAGTATAAATCTCGATGGCATGAAACTGCATTAATGCTAATTTATTTATTAAGGCATAAATTATCGACAGTTCCAGTAATTATTCTTTAAAAAGGAGCTAAAATTTGAAGTTCTGAATTGCAGTTAGCTTAATAAGAGACTAAATAATATGAAACGATCAAACTTTTGAGATATAGCAAACCTGCTTCGCGAATTGTTTCAAATATTATTTATCCTACAGTTTTAGGTGCAAAAAAAAAATGCTTTCAAAAATTACAAGCTTTTGTAACTTCTGCTTCTGCAATTCCTTATCTATTCAACGCATAACTATTTATTTGATATAAAACTTACATTTTTCCAAAGGATATATTTCCACTCATGACCTTTAAGAACTGTAGCACAGTAATTATTAACTGTTTGATCAGATTTTCTTCGCTTCTGAAATTGAAAATATTAATTCACCACAAGTTATGAATTGTTAATAATTTTTTGATACTTTTGGGTAATCTTCCATTTTAGTGAAGAATTTCTTTGCACATATAACAATATATGAAGCATATTTAGTAAAGCTTACGATGTCTTCAAATATTTCTTTGATAGCCGATACAGCTAAAATGATGATAAAGGGCCCTGCAGTTGTGAAACGTCCTGTTGGACTAACATTCGGAATTTGCTGGAAAAAAATTCACTGAAATGAACACGGTGGCAAAAGCAAACTTATTAAAATTTAAAATATGATATCACAAATATTTAAATCTAATACAATTTTTATTTAATTCGTTATTACAAATGGAGAAAAATACACTGACTTAAGAAAAGTATGTGAGCATTAAATCTTTGCAAGCTATCACAGATTTGAAATATGACGTTTCAAGTATTTTCAATTGGCAGTGAACTAATCTCAGAAACAATCCCAGAAACAAATCAACCTGAAGAATCGCGATGATGAGGAAAAACACATTGCTGTATCGTCTGAACTGTTCCGTTAAAAAGCGTGGGAAAAAAGAAAGTACACTATACTTGGCGGTGCTGGAAATGAAAGATAAAGTTCAAAACTTCTCAGAATTTGTTTTTTATAGATCACTATTATACATTCAAACTATGTCTTTTACAAATATCAGCAGTTCACTTTCATGTAATAGCACGATGTATTCTTTTGTGACTGCTTGAAAATTTGCAAGTTTAAAAAACATATAAACGTCCCTATTCAACGGATTAACAGTCATTAAGTAAATTTATTATATCATACCTGATAGCATTGGATCGATACTTCTCGGGTTGCGAAGTTTGGTTGACATAAATAATTCGCGAAGTCGAAGTACGAGAAATATGTTGTCTAATTTTAGAGCCAAAAAAAGACATTATAAAAAATGAAGTGCAACTGGCAGTAATCCACTCATAATTTCCACATCTGTTAAGATTTCCTCCTCGATCACCGAGCAATCATTCACAAGGCCAGATCTAAAAATGAAAAAAAGTTAATATTCATAAGCAATCAAACGCGATGCTATGGTATGGTTGGTGCACTAGGAATAACAAAATTTACGAGGATCCAAAAGAAACTGGAGTATTATAAATTCAAAACTGGAACGCATCAATTCAAAATTACAAAAGGTACACATTACACGAAGCAACATGAACCCATATGAGGTCCCAAACAAGCATATGTATAGCACTGGTAAGCACGTACAGTATGCCTTGAAAAATAATCTAACATCACTCTTTCTTCCTCGATATCCACGAGAGAGTGAAATAATTAGAATGATGACAAATTCAAATATTTTACAGTGACCGAAATAACTAATCGGTGAGATGTATTACTGATAATCAAATGTCGAAATTTGAGATCTGAATTCCATTCCATTTAATTCAGTGTTGCTCTTTTTTCATTCCAAAACACCAATTTTTAAAAACTTTAAAGATCATATAATTTCACACAGTATTTCACACATTTTCCGTTTGTGATATTGTATACCTTACAAAAAAAGCCAGATCGCTTAATTTGACAGTTAAGTAATTTCGTTCGATCATAATTAGTTTTGAAATAAACCAAGAAGCTTACAAAGAATCCGAAAAAAGCTGTAGATTTTAGAAAATTATTCTGGCAGCCTGAACAAATAAAAGACGAAGTGGAACAAAAAATGAATGTTGGAAACAAAACATGTTAAAATTGCTTGAAATTATTTCTCTCTCTCTCAAGATAGAGTCTATCTTTATAATGCTTCACTATAAACCTATGCCCTATGATAGATATCAGATCGGTTTCAAAATATTTTTGAATCATTTCGTTTTTTTTTTTTTTATTTCACTTCGTCTTTTCAAAAAAGAAATGGCAATTCATCAAGTACTTTAAAACAAAGATTATTATTATCCACTAATCATCCATAAGTGAGTCATTGATTTTCAGTTAAAGATGCTAGAGATAATGCTTCGTTAAATACACATATTAAAGCAAGTGGATAGTATTACCTCGGCGAAGCAATTCTATTGCAACTATTAAAATTATGCGTAATAGCATTTTCGGATCGCAAATTTTACTACAATTAAGTTTAAACGCATTTCTGTCAATTAGAAAAGAGACTAATACAATTAATACATTTACACCAACAACGAATAAATTTTCTTTTTTGTAAAAAGACGAATAGGGAAGCACTTTCTGAATCCTGCTAGCACTATACAAGCACTTACTCTATATAAAGTTACCAGTGTAATTAAAAAACGGTAGTCGATTAGCGAAAATATGGTGACTGAAAAATTTCCCTGTTCAATTCACTCAACTTCCAATTCAACTTAATTATCGACAGACGATTATGCGTTGTCATGGAGAATTCTAGATAATTGTTCTTTGAGCCACTGCAGTTTTCGATACATCTTTCAACAATTTGGTGAGGATATTTTTCAAATGGAATTGCTCAGCATTCAAAAAACTGTACTGACAAATCGTCGAATAGTGACCACGACTTTCTGTTACAAATATCGGCCACTGGAAATGCTTTGGAGCTTCTTTCCGTTATAACTGACATAATTGTCGTATAGAACCAATTTTTTCTCGCATGTCACAATTAAATCGGAAATGATCCTTCTTTATTTAAGAAAAGATTTCCTCAAAAGCGACTTTTTTAGTTATCAGTCAACTCATACGGCCCCAATTTACAAACTTTTTCATCCTCATAATCTACTTGAAGTGCAGCAGACCATGTAATGGTCATCGTTGAGTTTTTGCGTAGCCGTAAGAGAATCAATTTCGATGACTGTTTTCAACAGGTCACCGTATTTTTCACCTTTAAGGCTTTCATTTTCGCAAAAGCTTCCTAAGCCATAAATAAATATGCTACATGTTCGTATGCGAAATGCGTTATTAATCTTCGTGGTGATTACGACGAATTGATTTCAATTTCCTTCTCGAGTTTTCATTTTTAAAAGAGTTGAAAAAAAAAATCAAAACCACGAGGAAAATGTCCGATGGAGATAGCATAAAAGTAAAATTAACACAAATACTTTTCGCATCATATCATCCGTTAACATTAATAAACGATATTAGAAATAATTTCTTTCTTAACGTGCATATGTCTAATTGCCTTTCCTTAATTTAACGTAACCAATGAAATGAGCACTTAAATGAGAATGAATTTCAGCAAAATGCGAAAGATGCTGAAAGAGAACTAAAGGATTCAAACAAGGATTTAAAATATATTATTTAAGATACTACTTCCATTCGCTATGACTGTCTTAAACAATTACCGATCTAAACAATAACCTTTCTTCACCACCCGCAACCAACCAGCATTGTTTGTTCCACCTGTCACTATCTCCAGACCCCTTCCCCGTCCACCCGCAATTTCCATCTATCCTTGATGATAAACGACTGCATTTCCATCTTCCTTTCACATTCTGTGTTCTAACTTTCCAACCGTTGCCATAAGTTGCTTCGCAAATTTCTTCCCTTTCTCTTCCCTCTCTAACCTTAAAAGTCTCTTTTACTCTTCAAACTCTAACAATCTGTTTAATCTTATTAATTTTTAATCATCCTAAAGACTCTTCACCACGGTAGCGATATTGTCTAGTCGGATTAGCTTTTCCGTTTGGGGTTGGAGGGAGAATACGGATTGGTTGAGGTAATGTGAGGGAAGTTGTTAATTTAACTACAGCGATAGGAAAGTGAACTTTGTTATGAGTACATTTTTTTTTCAGAAACATGGAGTGTATATTTCAAGTGAGCTTATATGGATAGTGGATCAACGGAAGTGGACGGCTTGTGGCTGGAATGTACAAGAGGGGTGTAGGGTGTATGTGCGGATGGCGTACCACCGGGAGAAGATTAATCATCCAATCACTCCGAATCCTTGCTTTTCTTCTTGCCTTCAGCTTATTTTGCTTCGTTATCGAAAGTGGTCTTTTAGCTTGGCTTATACAAAATGCTTTAAATATTTCTGGGGTAAGTCTCGTCATATCGCGTTTTGTGCTTTTCACTTAGATTTAAATCTTTCGATTCAAAGTTGCAATCTTTACTTCATTTAGTCCACTTACACTAGGTCAATATGTGTTTCAACCTTAGTTCTTGAAGATGACATAAATTTTCCATGAAAGATGCAATTTCTCAAATAAATGCAGCGTATTTTAATCAACTTTAGATGTATCAAAATTTCTTTTGATGTACAGTTAGTCTAACTTCTTATTTTATTGACAGACATTTATCTTCCCACTAATAGTCGATTGTTATGGAGTGTGATCTTTTCTTCATTTTCATTTTTTTAATTCTGACATTAATTGTAAAAAGTGGTTGACATCCATATAATTCCTAATTTTCAGCAAGACAACGAGGAGCAGATGTTAGATAAGTACAAACTAACAGCACATAGACATATCCAGTGGTTAGCAGATAGTAGTGAACCAAATATGAATTCAGTAAACGATAGCTTTGTGAGCGATGAAGGAACGGCTTGCCGTAATACAGTACAAGGAAGGACTTCTGTTACTGATGACAGAGGTAATTTGAATTCACATAAGGTAGGGCCAAGTTTATTTAATCCATTTTTATGCACTTCATGAGTTTCGGCTCTGAGATTTCCAATTGTTTTCATCATCTGAACAAAATATACAGAGATTGAAGTATTCATATTTAGCAAGAGTATTACACATTTGTTCCCATTTTTTTATTTCAACACGGTTTGCTTTTTGGATATATTGAATATATGGATATATTTGTTTTGGATATATTTCCGCAGAGTAATAGTAATAGTTGATTTCTAGCTGTTAATCTTTCGTTAATACAATATCAGATTGTGAAATTTTTCTTACATTCAGGTTACACATGTGAAAGAGCTTACCTGTTGTCGAATGGTTGCTGCGAAGTGGGCACTCAGTCAGTACGCTTTAGCTGTGTTTGGTGTGACCTTTGTACCGGTTGTTGCTCTCACTATGAGCAGTGCGTTTCTTGTTGTTTGAGACCAGATCAGGTACATTCTTGATGCAGTTAAAATAAAAGTTAAAAGAAACAATGGATTGTTTCATGCTGGATTTGCTCTTTCCATTATAACATATGTGTTGCTAGCTGAACATTTGAAAACCTAGCAAAACAATTTGGTCAAATTTATTTTTGTTAACGTTTGTTGAAGAAAAAATATTTTTATAGAAAAATATATTGCTAGAAGTCATAGAGTCAACGTCTGGACATCGATTACGACAGATACTTTCTGCGACAAATCAGTTCGAGCTTTGCATGCTGAAATGTCGCACATCTTCGAATGTAAGAATACCAAAAATCTCTAATTTCCAGACTCTCGACTTTATCCGAGTGTCTCACCATTCCTTTTCTGAAGTAAAAAGAAGTTAATTTATTGTCATGCAAACGTATCAATGGAGCGAGAATGAGTAACATTATGGATTGAACTCTAAATGTTATTTTCAGCCATTAGGAAATGTTTGAATGATAGTACAGTTTTTATGAAATAAACACATTTATTTTTTAGAGCGTACATTCGGAAAACAAATACAAAAGCGAGAAGATGAAATATTGTTACAAGCAGGAGCCGAAACGTCCTTTTTCACGATAAGAATAGTCAGCCTTACTCTTCGGTGAAAATTTAGATAATTTCGCGCTTAATATTACGAAGTCAATTTTATATCTTTATTTTTGTGCATGATTTTAACTTTGGTTATATTCTTCAATTTATGAGCTTTATTTATTATAGAATTGTTGTATTCAATATTAATATTATTACTTTATATATATGATATATATGCCTTACGATTCTCTCCCTATAAGGAGTAGCTATTAAATAGTTTTAAAATATTCCAAGAGTTTTATTCCATAATTGGTGTTGTATAGTCCTTGCAATGTTTTTAAAATGCATGTTTGATACTGGTTAAGATTTGGCACTAACGAATTTTTCTTTAAAATTAGTAAATAAGCTACACATCTTTCACTGTTCCGGTTATAGGCCTTCATTTTCTACGTAGTTTTCTGTTATATGAGTGTTGTTGTTACTTTTATGTATTTTTTCTCTCATGTTGCTGATTTTGGCATATTTGTGTTGTAAAGAAATCATAAACTGAGAATTTAAATTCTTGTAGAAACTGGAATAAATCTGTTTGTCTTCAGCAAACTGTTAGCACGAGTTTTGGTTTAATGGTAGTTTCTTAACTACTTATTCGTTTTTATATCAATTTTGAATGAAAAAGCTTATTGCTTGTTCTATGCATTCCTTTGGCTCTGTTAACAAACTTTATCTTTTAAATATACATGTGCATACGTCGTATAATTCTTGGAATAATGAATTTATTATTACAATACAATTCTGCGGCAAATTTCCCTTAAAAATGGAATTCGGTTGTTTCCTTGGCTTATTGAGCATTGTTTTAACGCTTTTGGAAGCTTTTAGAATATTTCTGTATGTTATAGTATGAATTGTAGTAATATGAGGTTTTGTTTTTTCCTGTAAACTTCTGGTTGAGACTTATATAATTGATACGTTCCATGATGCTTGATTAGTAAAAGTTGCAGTTGTATGATGAATTTATCGTGGCACCGTGGAACGGTTTTGCCTACAAAAAATAAGCTGGATTTACTGCTTGCATTGGAACATGGAGTTGAAAGAGTAAGGTATGTGTTTTAGACTAATTCCAATGGTTCCATTGATTTTGTATATTTGAGTCAGTAATTGACTTATTCTATGGGCTATTACACGCGGAGATTTTCGTTTCTGCCAGTAGTAATAGTCCTAGAATATACTAATATTTACTTTGCGTGGGACTGTTTTAACTAGTTTCAATTATTGAAAGACAAAGCCAATTAAGGTTCAAAAAAATCAATTTCAATTGAGACAGTGCAGTAATTATTTACAGGCTTTGGCAATCATGGCGACAAGTTGTAATCTGGGCCTTACTAACGATTTACTTCATTTTCGACGTGAGTTATTTTGATTCGGAAATTTATGCAGCTGAGTTAGAATTTGAAATTTTTCCAGTGGAATTAATTTCATTATATTGAGTTTGCTCTAGAATTAGCTTTTAAAACTTTCTGGTTTTTCTTTTGATTGTAACTACAATTTCATGTTTTTATTTTCACTAATGACAAAAGTGAACATTTATCATGTTTTTTAGATATTCGCTTTAAATTGTGCTACTTGCGCGAGTTTGATTTCTTTCTTTATGCGATATGATATAGTTTATTCAACGACGTATATGGTCGAGATCACAGTTCTTTTCATTTGTTTATTGAATTTATTAGTGCGTCTTTTCGAAGCGGCAAAATATTCTTACTGTATTACGAGGAGTACACCATCGAAACTTACATCACAGCAAGTTTCTTCACGTGGGACCACTGATCAAAGTGAGGTTGAACATTTTGCAAACAAATTTCTTGACTTTAAGAATCTTATAGGAATATTCGTGTAGTGCTTGTCTATTAGACAGATGATCCTTACTGCAATTTAAGAAGCATAAGAAAACAATCATTTGTAGGAAAGGATTTGAATTCGCAAAAGGTAAGGAGTATCATTGTGAAGAGTGCTTTTTGCATTCTACGAACATTATTATATAAGTCTAACATTTTTACTGAAACTAGTTTCAGGCTGTTATTTTGGAGAAAATATTTGTTAAACAAGTATTTTAGTTTCATTTTTTCAGGCGGCTGCAGCATTTCATCATCTCCACCGTCAAATCGGAATTTTATCACACAGTGGCTTTCAGCTTTACATTTTGGCAAAGGAGCAACATTATCTCAGAGAAATTTATTTTCATCGAACTACATAAGACATAATCTGACCAGCTCTTCAATTTCACCATCGTTTAATGGGTTAGGTAGTTTCCTAAAATTTTCTTCTATCCAAAAATGCATATATGTACAAGTGAATTCAGCTAAAATCGGTAATCGCCGATTTTCTTGACATGTGCTAAAGTTCGTTTGAATCGTTTAGCCAATTTTACACCGCTTTCTATTGTTACGGGAAAGATTCTAAATATGCCAGGGTTTAGATCAGATTATCGATATACCTTTTAAAACATTGTCAGAAAATTTTTCTGTTTAAAATCGTTTTGATGACGAAAATAATGTTTCGGATAAAAATTTTTAGTCGCAAGTCAGGAAGTGTGTTTAGCAACAGCACCTTGTTCACGCATTCAACACCATTGGTTGATCATCACTCGTCATATGTAGAAAGACATTCGAGCCATTCTGTACCATTATCAGCGAAAGTTGGTTCAAGAACATCCCTTCGCAGTCGTCTGACATCTTCAATTCAAACAAGCAAGCAGCTGGAAGAGTATCTTCAAAAAAGGTTAGAGACTTATATCGACTGCGCTTGCGGTATTAAAGCAAACGCTTCAGATAAAACCACCACTTGTGATATTTGCTTTTACGTTATATGCGCGATACATGCTCCACTTTCATCAGACTATAGTCACGCTATGGATATTTTGTTGAGAAAAATGTATGAAAACTCTGTTATAAAACATACGAAGTTGTTCTGACCACAGTGCATTTTATTATGAGATTCTTTATGACTTTCGTGAAGATAAGGATGCTAAAAAGATTCACTTTTATTTTTTCGTGATAGAAAAGTTTAAAAATTGAGCAATCGCATTCGCAAACTGCGAAAGGCACTAATCGAACATAGCCATAAAAGTATAAGGTCTGGATGCCTTAGGCGATCCTTCTCTTAGACTGCATAGCAGATCGTTTAGCTTCTCAGTGTAGACCGCTTCCATACAAAAACTCTCGGGTCGCCATGAGTTCGATAGATTTCGATGGATGCCTTTCTCTATCTCATGGAAATCAAATTCCAATATTACGAAAAGATAGTGTACGTAAGAGAGTTGTCGAGTTTAATAAGAAATCTTATATGAAAAAATAAAATTCAGAGTTTTTCAGTGCCCGGAACAATGAATTATTCAAAAGTTCCACAACATCATTTTCGTCACCATTTGATTCATTATCACCTCGCGAGTCCGACCATATTATTGGTATTTCTCAGCCGTTCTCTTTGGCATCCTCCAGAAATAATAGTTACGAAGTTGGAACTGCCATGTATGACGATGAACAAGGGAGAGTGGCAGGCGATGAAAATAGTGTTGTTTCGTTAGTAACAGGTTTCGTTTTTTTTGCACTGTATTATAGTATGAACTGGTTAACTATATGTTAATATTAATTTAATACTGACACGCTCGCTTAGAATTTAAAATTGAACGTTTTAATTTTAAAATGAGTCTAGTCAGCTCATGTCAAACGTGTAAATTCGGCTCAATTTACTGTCGATATAGTGCAGGTTTTGTACTAACTAGTATACTTTAATACGTGTCAAAAAAATTAACAGTGTCTTAGTATTTGCGGAAGATTTAATAATGCGAAACTTATGTGATCACACAATGATATGTTGTACTTTATTCTTATAAATCGAGAAATTCTCATTTCTAGTCACACTGCTGATAGTAATGGAAGGGAACCGTTAATATCCCCAAAGTACAATGTGCATATCTAGATTTATATTTTTATTTAGGCAGTCGTATAACGGTAACTGACAAACGCATATCGTTATCACCAATTCCACTTAATTTGATTGAAGTCGGCAACGAATTGAGTGCTGAGGATGGCAAAGGAATGGCGAGTGATGGGACAGACGTTACGCGAAATGCTGATAATGATAGCATCACGTTTCGTGTAAATTATAATGCTGCAAAGCGGTCACCAAAGAGAGGACAAGGTTTGTGAAATTTAATTTAATTTTGAAGTTTTTACGTAAACTTTTAATCATTAGTAATTTCTAAGTATGATGTGTTTAAAAATATCATAGCAAAATAAAAATATCAATTTAGTCCCTTCTGGAAATTTCATGCTTCTTTTATTCACAAATACTTCGTTTGGATATTTGTTTGAAATGTTCTTAATACTTGACCGAAATTTTTAGGGTTTACTCCTCCGTTATTTCGTCGATCAGAAACTTATGAACCTCGTCGGCATTCTAGCTCATCTCTGCATTCTCATTCTGCAAACCAACTTTCAAATGTTGTTCAGTTGAATGGAATTAAAAGCAGCCCTACCGGCAAGCGGATACCAATCACTTCTTCGGAAATATTGAATCAGTAAGAATTTTTGCTATTTCAGGTGTCTTTGTTTTTTTCTTGCGACAAAAAAAGTTTTGAGTGATAGAAGTTTTTAGAACTGGTCAGACTTTATGTTGCAGATATAGAATGGATGCTGAAGACTTCGCTGTTGCTGAACGTAATTTACGCTCTTGGATTTGTCAGACAATCTTACGTCCGCTTATTGTAAAAATTGATGAAATTAATGCTGTCTTTATAAAGGCATGTTTTTCGCAATTTCAAAAATTTCTTTCGCTTAGTCGTATGAAATCACTGCAAATAAGTTTTCAATTAATCACTTTTTAAGAGTCATTTAAATAGTAACTCAATATTTGCAATGATGCAACTCATTGTTGATTTCGAATGAAGTTTGGAATTGCAAAAATATCGACATCCAGTAAAAACTGAACCTAGATAGGAAGGTCGAATAAGTAAATTTCTCCACCAATAATAAACTAATAAAAAAATAGATAATTTCAGTCTCACGCACATTTGCATCTGAAAATCGGTCACTCATCTGTAGAGGCGCTTCAAACTGCTGCTTCGTCGAAGTGTGATCTGCTAAAGTCGGCTCTACCATACATTTTACCGTATCTCAAAATACATGAAAGACAATCTTACTTGATTAAAAGGTGTCGAGAATTGTCTGCCGATGTCTGTATGAAAAATTACAATTGGCAAGGCGGAGGATATGAACCTGTTGAAAGGAAAGAAGAAGGTTGTTATTTCAGTCCAGTCCTAGGTTAAATTTCTCTTTTTTTGAATTGACTTCACTTTTTAGCTTTCTTTTTGATCAAAGAGAGAAACTAGATAGTTTCAACATGTGAAATTCAAGCGCCGTTGAATTTAATGGTTTTTAAGAAGTGATTAGATGTTCAGAAGCTTTTTGATTTAATTTAAAAAAAAAATTGCACTTTAGGCGAGCAGGGTTACTCGCCAACAGAACATGCTTGGGGCTCGCATTTACCAACAGACGCCCAGCTTATTTGGTCTTGGTTTGCAGTTTACATGGATGCACGGTAAATTACATTTTAATAATTTCGATCTATAGTTTTTGTAACTGCTGTTTTAATTAAGTGCTAACTTATGTCTTTATTTAAAAGCTCAATTAGATACTTCTCATAAAAAAATGAGACTTACTTGATTTAGGATTGTAAACAAAATTGTTTATAGAATGGGAGCAAATCCTTTGGTGAGTGATATTGAAATGCCGTTCTCATCAGTTTTCTACCTGAAAAAGCCTTCAAAGCCATCATTGTTGCAGTGTATGAAAAAGTCTTTCTATATTTATCAGGTATTTGACTAGAAATTTTCACAATTTGGTCATTCTGTATGATATTTCTCAATCAAATTAATCGTCAAGTATATCGAGCAGTTAAGCTTTGGGGTATTCATTAAATTTATTAAACTTTTCAGAGCAGTATTTATCCTCCACATTTTGAATTGGTATTGGATGGTGGCCGTGAACGTTTCGAAGTTGATCGCGGCACAAAAAATCTTTGGCGAATAATATTGCTTTTTATACAACATATTCGATTGTTTAACGAAGGACAGCTGGGTAACATAAAAATTGATGAAAACGGGATCAATCTTGCTTGTGTTTTGGAGTAAATGTTGTTGCAAATGACTGTGACAAAGATTTTTCATTCCTTAAGTTTCAGGTGAAAATTGTGCCCTTTTTCAATTCTAGTTGATTAAGAATTAGATCTTTCACTTTCTCCATAGTATTCCAAATTACCCTTCTGCTCTGGTACATTTTGAGGTGACTGATTAGTTCACCATTTATTTATCAAAATTTTTGTTGATTTGTTTTTTTTTCATTGTTGTAAACTGCCTCATCCGCTTACTAAAAATAGGGAAGTCATAACCATTTAATATTACGTAGACTGTTCCTTTCATGAATATTGTTATATCCATATATTTTTTTTAATATTTCATTATAATTTTGTTTAACGTGACTTCCTAACATAACTTCCTCGTCTGAAATATTTTCCATACAGATTATGGAAGGTTGTAATGTTTCAGTTTTGTTTGGGAAAAGCATTTAAATCCTTCCACACTGTATTGTAACTTTAGTCGCCTTTTCTCACTCCGAATAATAAATCTTCAATTTGGAAATTTTTTTTAGCATTCGAAAATTTC